AAAGAGACCGATGTCCAACAACCGATGAATAATATGTGGCATACCTGTACCATGGTATGTTATTCAGCCGTGAAAAGGAAGAGAATTAGGACACATGCTACATGTGCAGACCCTGAAAACTTTATGCTGAGTGAAGGAAGCTAGACACACAAAATGCCACATACTGCGCGATTCCATTTATAAAATACATCTGTCTACAACAGACACATCTACAAAGACTGCAGGTAGATTAGAGGCTGCCTGGGACTGGGAAGAGGGGAAATGGGGAGTGACTGGAATGGGTAGGGGGTTTCTTTTGTGGGAGTGACTAAAATGTTCCAGAATTAGATTGTAATGATAGTTACATAACTCTGAATATACTAAAAACCATTGAATTGTACACTTTTGATGAGTGAATTGTATGGTATGTGAATTGTACTGCAGTAAGCTATTTTAAAAATGAAAGAGTTTGCTAATAAAACAGGACAAAGGTAAAGGAACCCAAAGAGATGGTGCAGCACCCTGGAGCTGGCTACACTGGGGAGCTGTTACTCCTTAGGCCTGAAGACAGGGGAGACTGAGCTGCTGGAATCCAGGGGGCTGTATAGACAGGACTTCCCAGCAGGAGCTGTGACCTTTGATAGGGGAATGCAGACATCTTGAAGGGCCCAGCAGGTAGCAAGCAGGGGAAATAACTCTTAGAACTTCCCTCCTGTCCTCTGATTTCCTGCCAGTGCCTTCCACTAGCCAAGCTGTCTGAAAGGGCCTACTGAGGCCAGACACCAGATTCACAGATTTACTTCCTCATTTATTTTTCTCATGTATTATGAAATCTCAGCATCACAAGATGGCAAAATGGCAAACTCTAGCAGTTTCATGCAGCTGGTCTTTAACCTGCAACCCAATGGTGCAGCCGCCAACATAAAATACTGACCTTCTGCCACTGCTCCAAGCCCCTTGACTGTCCCCCTGCTTTGCCAAGGCTTTTCCCTGAATCCTCTTGACTTCACCTGTATCCAGCAATGAGGGGTTGATGCCTGGCTATCCTGGAAGGGCCTGTGGGACTCTGAACATTCAACTGACAATTGCTCAGGCCTGGGACACACTGTGGAGTGATTTGAATGCACCCTGTTGGTGAATTGCCTTCAGGCATTTTCTGCGCACCTGCTGTGTGCCAGGCTCTGGGAAGCTGCATGGAGCCATGTCATCTTTAAGCCTGAGCCTGAAAGCTCTCAGAGCTCCTGATACTTAAGCACAGAGCCCAGGCTGTTCAAGTGGGGAAGGAGCTCAGAAGGTCCCTTGGGCAGCTCAGGAGCCTGGCCTTGAGCAGCGGGGTGCAGAGTACAGCTTTGTCCCTCATCCACTTCCTCTGCTGCTGTTCCCTGCCTAGGGGAGAGGGCTGAATGCCCGTCTGGTGACCAGCCCTGGCCAGGCAGCTGTGATTATGCCTGGCTTAATGTGGTCATAATGCAGTCACTGCAGCTCTCAAAATGCTGAGTGTGCAGGGCTAGTGGGCGGGATGTCACCTGATTGGGGCCCATTCAATACTACCACAGCGTCAGGCAATCAGTGGCCTCAGAGGAACAGGGAGGCCACATCGGGGGCCAAGAGGGCAGGAGGGGCAGCGACTCCCACCCAGGACCCGGGAGCTGCCTTCTGCACTGGGACCATTGCTTAGGGCCCATCACAGTAGAAGCCCTTGGTATCACAGACGTGGAAACACGCAAACTTTGGTATTGCTTTCCCACGAGAAACTTCCAGGGGCTTCCCATTGCCTTTAAGAAAACAACTTTACTGAGGTATAATTCACACGTCATACAGTGTCACCACTTAAAGTGTGCAATTCAGTGGCTTTTAATATATACTCGCAGATATGTGCATCACCACAATCAATTTTACATCTTTTTTGTCACCTCAAAAAGAAGCTTTTACCCATTAGCCACCCCTCCCCATTTCCCTTCTTCCCCCAACCACTAATATCTCACTTGTCATTACGGATTTGCCTATTCTAGGCATTACATATAAATGCAATCACATGACAGGTGGCCTTTTGCGTCTAGCTACTTTCACTTAGCATATAATGTTTCCAAGGCTCATCCATGTTGTAGCGTGTGTCAGTACTTCACTCCTTTTTATGGCTGAATAACATTCCATTGTATACTTCATTTTGTTTATCAATTAATAGTTGATGGAGTTATTCCTTCACATTTTAGCTGTTGCGAATAATGCTGCTATGAGCAATCATATTCTCATTTTACTGTGGGCATATGTTTCCATTTCTCTTGGGCATACACTTAGGAGTGGAACTGTTGAGTCACACACTCTGTGACTAACTTTCTGAGAAGCTGCCAGACTGTTTCCCAGGGCGGCTGCCTCATTTCAGATGCCAGTGGCAGTGCAGGAGGGTTCTGATGGCTTCACACCCTCGCTGACACTTGTTGTCTTAGCCTCCTCGTGAGCATAAAGGAGCATCGGTTATGGTTCTGATTTGCCTTTCCCTGGGGACCAGTGCTACTCAACATCTTCTCATGTGCTTGCTGGCCGTTGATTGCACCCATTGCATTTTTGTAAATTGAGATATTGCTTATGTGAAAAAGGTGCACAGAGCACCCCTGTTCATTTAAAAGAATAGTTACAAAGCATGATCCATGTAACCGTAACCCATATCAAGGAGCAGAATATTGTCAGGACCCACAGAAGGCCAGTGGGTGCTCCTGGCCAACCACAGCCCCTCCCCACCCTGGGGCTGACCTTGTCTTGATATTGGTGGATGGGCTTCTAAACAATACAATCCAGTTTTGCCTGCCTTTGAACGTGATCCAAATGAAATCACTCTGTGGAAATCATTTCTGACTTGCTTCTGTCCCTCCACACTGTGTTTCTGAGTTAGTCCCTGTCAGTGTGGCTTGCTAGAGCTGTTCATTGTCACTGCCCTATTGTGTTCCGTTGAAATGCACACGCTGTGGTTTCTCCACTCACTGTGGATGGTCATCTGGATGGTGCTCAGGTCAGAGAGATTATGAACATTGCTGTGTGGACATTATTGAACCTGTCTCCTTTGCATACACAGTGTAAGTCTCTAGAGTATGTGTCTTGGAAGTGGAAGGTCTGAGTCATCGGCATGTGGATCTTCAGCCTTACTAGATACTGGAAAATGGGTTTCCAACATACGTGTACCACGTGTGCATGCCTCCAGCAGTGTCTGAGCGTTGCAGGTGCTCCGTATGCTCGCCAACACTCAGTATTGTCGGAATCCATTTTGAGCATCCCCCAGGCATCTCTGTGTCAAAGCCTCCAGCTCAACTGGGCCTGAGTGCATCAGAAACAGCTGCCTAACTCTGCCCCCAGTTGTGTCATCACACCTCCACGTCTTTACTCTTTCTCTTACTACTTAAGCCAAGGCAGAAAGACAGGCTGGACATTTGGGAACGATCCCCTCACTGACAACCAAAAGGGATATCTATGTTGTTTTGGGGACACAGCCTGTATTTGAAGGGGCTGCTCTTCTATCCTGGGCTGCATGTGTGGGGGTTCTGAGACAGTGCTGCCTACAGGAGGTGTTCTGTGATGCCAGGTGTTCTGGAACCAGAGCCCTCAACCAGCCAGTCCTGTTCCTGAACACCCTGGGTGCCTGTGGCATCACTGGCTCATTGACTGTAGATACTGAGGTTGAAATGTGGTGGCTCTCCCTCCCTGGTGGTTCTGTTGACCAAATACTGGTCACCACTCCTGGAAGCAGAGCTCTTAGGGCTAGGAGGACCCGGAACATGGACCCAATTTTCAGAGACAGGGACTTAATCTGTTCCTCTCGGAATCCCCAGCATCCTGAACAGGCCTAGGGCCAGAGGCAAGACTAGTGAGTGTTTCTTGAATCTCTGATTCTGTTTCAGCACCCTGATTTTGGCAGAAAAGATGGAGTTGTCTTCCCTATATGTTAAAGTTAAGGAAACTGAGGCCCAGAAAAGAAGCACCACACGGGAACTAAGTGGCCAGCAGGCACTGAATTCACCCCTCAGCTCCAAGCCCCTTGCCTCAGACTGTCTCATATGCCAGCTCTGAGACTTAGTTGAGCCTCAAGGTTTTTTTCTGTAAAAAGGAGTCATAATCATACTAGCTTCATGGACTTAATAAGATGCCAAACACAAAGGCATGGGCCAGTGTGTGTGCAGGGGGTTAATCAATGTCCACTCACTTACCCCTTCATCCATTCATGCTTTCATGATATAACAGGCAAAAGCAATTTGACAACCTGAATGAAGGATGATGAAAATGCTCATATACAGTGACCAAGCAACTGTGCTCACCGGGAAATCCCCATCTCCATGCCTGGTACACAGTAGGAAGGAAGAAAAGCTTTAGTCCCAAAGATATTTCTTTGTAGTTGAAAAAGGAAGAAAGGGGTGGAGGGAGGAAGGAAGGAAAGCAAGAGAAAGAAAGAAAAACAGTTTTTAAAGTACCCTAAATAAGTACCCTAAAAACAACCTGAATATCCTGTACACTGCGTAATGCCTTCTCTTATTGCTGGGCTATTCTAAAACAAAGGTATGCAAAATATGTCTCATGGCCCAAATCTAGTCCACTATCTTTGTAGGCAAATAAAGTTTAAATGAAGAACATCCACTAGTCAATCCTTGAACTTCATATAAATGGAATCATAAAGTATGTCCTCTTTGGTGTCCAACTTCTTTCACTCAACATTGCCTTTCAAAGATCCAGTCTTTGTGCATGTGTGAGCAATTCATTCGTTCCCATTGCTGTGTAGTATTTCGTTGTATGAGTATAATTAAGCACTACTGTTATCCTCATTCTACATAAGGGGAAACTGCTGCACAGAGGGCCGAGGTGGCTTGCACAGCACAAAGGCTTGAGTGATAGGGCCTGGAATCCAGGTCTGAGTTTCCTACACCAGACAGAAAACGAAAGTCAGACCCAGGTGGGGCAGGGGTGGGGCGGGCTGGGGGCTGCACTTGGCCTTGGTGTGCAGTGACCCGTGCTGTGCTCTTCCCTGCCTTCCCCTGCAGATCCTGGAGGAGAACATGAAGCTGGAATGTAAGTGCCACGGCGTATCAGGCTCGTGCACCACCAAGACGTGCTGGACCACACTGCCACAGTTTCGGGAGCTGGGCTACGTGCTCAAGGACAAGTACAACGAGGCTGTTCACGTGGAACCGGTGCGCGCCAGCCGCAACAAGCGGCCCACCTTCCTGAAGATCAAGAAGCCACTGTCCTACCGCAAGCCCATGGACACGGACCTGGTGTACATCGAGAAGTCACCCAATTACTGCGAGGAGGACCCGGTGACCGGCAGTGTGGGCACCCAGGGCCGCGCCTGCAACAAGACGGCCCCCCAAGCCAGCGGCTGTGACCTCATGTGCTGTGGGCGTGGCTACAACACCCACCAGTACGCCCGAGTGTGGCAGTGCAACTGTAAGTTCCACTGGTGCTGCTATGTCAAGTGCAACACGTGCAGTGAACGCACGGAGATGTACACGTGCAAGTGAACCCCGTGTGCACACCACCCTCCTGCTGTAAGTTAGATTGCTGGGAGGACCGGACCGTTTCCAAGCTGCGGGCTCCCTGGGAGGTCACTGCCTGGATCTTCACAGGGAACCACAGGAATTCTGAGCTTGTCTTTTCTGCTGAGGAGGGTACTTTTCCTGGGTTTCCTGCAGGTATCTGCGGGGAAAAAAATCTCTCAGAGCCCTCAGCCATTCTGTTCCACACCCAATGCTGCTCCACCCTCCCCCAGACACAGCCCAGGTCCCTCTGCGGCTGGAGTGAAGCCTTTTGCAGCAGGAACTCTGGACCCCTGGGCCTCACCATAGCAATATTTAACAATTTATTCTGATAAAAATAATATTAATTTATTTAATTAAAAAGAATTCTTCCACCTCGTCGGGATCCGTTTTCTGCAATCAAAGTGGACTGCTTGCTTTCCTAGCGGGATGATTTTGTTGCTAGGACGAGGAGCTGTGTAAAACTGTACATAACTGTTCTTTATGCAGACATTTCTACTAGTTGATTTTGCAAGTACCCACCCCCCCGCAGCACTAGATGTTTAAGTACAAGAGCAGGCATCCTTTATACATATATAGATCTATATACACACACATTTATATTTTTTTGCTGTTTGCTGCTACTTATCCAGAAATTTAAGCTGGTCTAGATTTGGAGATGTTTTTGCAGAGTATGTTTCCCATCCTTTTGCCCCTCTACCCCCACCAAGTTCAAATGTCACCATTAGAAAAATCCAGTTTGGAATATATAGAGAGGAAAAATAATAATAAATTCCCAGCAGTTTCCATCTTTCGGAAAGTGAGCCACTGGATAAGAGAGAATATTTTGTAAGAGACTATTTTTATATGAATATTTTATTTATATTGAGTCTGCTGTATCATTCCACGGCCTGTGCTTCTTCTTAATTCTAGTACTCAATTTGGGGTAAGGAGGGGCGATGCCTGGGTGTGGGGTCAGGCCCCACGGGACCCCTCACACAGCTGGATTCTTGAGTTCTGTTTGCCAAGTGGACACAAGCTCCCCCTGGATGCCTGGGGTTGAGGCATCATCTCATCTGTGTTAGCTGGGAAAGAAATCAAGTCCCCAGCCTCAGCCTGTTAAGCTCAGGCCTTTCAAGCAGGGCCACTGAGTAGTGGCCTCAAAATGAGTCACTGTGGTGGGTGGTCATTGTGCCCGTCACAGGGACTTGGCCGTCATCATGCAGCAGAGGCCTGCTCAGGGAGCCCCACACCTCACCAAGACACCTGCCATTGCCTACGTGTCCCAGAATGTGAGATGCAGTCCTCAGATGAGGGGCCAAAAAAAAAGGTGGGGTGAGGGGCCGATGAGCCGCTGGGCCCAGCGGGGCTTCCTGGATATTCTGCTCCCAAGGCCAAGCAGCAGGGAGAGGTGTGAGTGAGCCCACTTTGCTTTGGGTCCAGCTAGGCCCAGAGCCTCAGCCTGAAAGCTGTCCTCCAGCAGGCTGGGGGTGTTCTAATATGTGTCCATTTGCATTTCTGTGTCTGTGCGTGTCCTTAGGGACCTGGAGGTAGCCACATGACTTGGTGCCTTCCAGTGCCTCCGCTGTGCTCCTCTGTATATGTGTTTGTGTGTTTCCAGGCTACCTAAGTGTCTGTTTCTCTCCATGTGCCTGGGAGGTCAGGTCTCAGGCATGGAGCTCTGTGCCTTTGTATCTGCTGCTCCCCAGGGTCTCTGCTTGCAAGTGGGGGCTGGTGGTGTGAGGCAGACAGCAGAGACTGTGTGTGATTATATTGAGCCACCAAGAGATGGCACCTCTGAACTCTGTCCCCCCAGCCATGGGTGAAAATCAGACACCTCTGAGACCACAGCCCCGTGGCCACACCTGCTAGGAGCCCTTCAGTATCTAGGCTGTGTCTGATTCCTCAATGTCCACACTGAGCCTGGATCACAGCATGGGCAAATAAAAGTGACTGGATGGTTGCTTGGTTTTTTCTGTTGGAACTTTCTCCCACCATTTTTCTTTTACTTGGGTGTCTGGAGGAGTGGGCATGTGAAGGAGCCATGGAGTGAATGGTTGGAGGTAGGTGAATGGGTGAATGTATAGATGAATAAGCAGGTGGGTGGGTAGATGAATAAATGGATGGATGGATGGCTGAAGGGATAAACAGATGGGTGGATGGATAGATAAGTGGATGGATGAATGGATGAATAGATAGAGTAGGTGAGTGGATGAAGTAGGTACACCTACAGATAGGCAGATGAGGAGTTTCTTGGGAGTCCACAGGTCACATTTTATCTTTGCCTTGGAAAACCTACTGGGTCTGCCATGAGCAGGGTGGCTTCCCAATCCTGCAACACTTCTGCTTCGGACCTCCTTAGCACCTGGGAATGGGGGAGATTCTGACCAGCCTTTCCAGATGAGTGATCAATGCTAATTATGTAAACACAACCTCAAAAGGGTCATTCTTGTGTCCTTCCTCACTGTAGGTTCCCAACCCTGGGGCCTGCCCTCTATCTGGATACCCTACTCAGCTGTGCCCTGAGCCCCAGTTTCTCCACCTGTGAAATGAGAATAACAACACCTACCTCACAGGGCTGTTGTGAGGACCCTCCCAGTAATGATTGTATGGAACTTTGAGTTGCAAAGTAATAGATGAATGCGAAATATTATTAATTATTATTATCACTATTCTCTCCACAACTATGGGATTCTTCAAACATGGCTTATGGTAATAAATATTTGGTTCTGTGTTGGGCAGAGGTATCCACCAGCCCCTCTGGTCTTTTCCTAAAGTGGCTTTTCAACAAAACTGACATTACAAAGGCCAAAATTGTTAGAGGCTGAATAAAACATCAGAAAGCCCAGGACTATAGTGATGAGAAAGCAGATGCCTGGGGTCTTAGCAGAAACCCAGTCTCAGAAAGTGAGCTGCTCAACACAAGGACATTTTTGCCACATGGGAATGTGTGCCTCTTCATGGTCAAATCCTCTGATTTTTCAAGAAAGGACAAACATCCAGGTTTTTGAACTCCTGACCTCAGGTGATCCACCCACCTCGGCCTCCCAAAGTGCTAAGATTACAGGCATGAGCCACTGCGCCCGGCCGGTACATCCAGGTTTTTAAGTAAAATCTCCCACATTTCAATACTTTGACAAACACCATGAGGATGAAGCAAAACATGACTGCAGGCTGAACTTGGCCTTTATGCTACCAGCATACAGTCTCTGACTTGGGCCCATCTCTTGTTTTAGAACTGGAAAAACTGAGGCCCAGAGATGGGCAGGGCTTTGAACTGGAGAAACTGAGTCCCAGAAAGGGGTAGGGTTTTACTCAAGGCCAGACAAGCAAGTGTGGCAGAAAGAAAACCAAGCCCAGGATGTGTGCCTTCTGGGGATGGCCTTGCACCAACATAGTACACTGATGGAGGCAGCAAAATAATTTGAGGGAGGGGGTTAAGAGGGATAAAATTCCTACACACACACACACACACACACACACACACACACACACACACACATACACACACACACACTCTGAGAGAGAGAGAGAGAGAGGAAGAGAGAGAGGGAGAGAGAGAGGAGACTTGAATTTGAAACTAGCTCAGGACTTCATGGAGCAGGAACCAGGCTTTCACAAAGACCCTGACGAGATTAGCCAGTGCCTGAACCCCTCTGCAGAGGGTGCCCTGCCAGTTAGCAAGGGAGCCCCTCTGCAAGACCTGGGTCAGAACAGACCTGGGGAGGCTTTTCCCACCCAAGGTCAGGACAGTCCTGGGGAAGCTTTTCCCACTCAAGGTCAGGACAGTTCTGGGGACGCTTTTCCACCCAAGGTCAGGACAGTCCTAGGGAAGATTTTTCCACCTGAGGTCAAGACAGTCTTGGGGAGACTTTTCCATCCAAGGTCAGGATAGACCTGGGGAGGCTTTTCCTACCTGAGGTGGGGCTGTCCCCTGCACACATCAAGTCCAAGACATGTTTTCTCAGCCCCTAGGAAGCCTCTTGCTCCCACTTTACAGATGACAACCAGTCTCAGTTTGTTACCTCTTGCTTCTGGATGGTGGGGCCTTGAAGAGGTGACTAGTCTCCTCCAGGTCTCTCTGCTTCCACTCATACCCCAAGCTGTGGCCAGACCTCCAAGCTCTGCCAGACCAAACCACATCATACCTACCACCAGCCATGGCTTCCCATTGTCATGTAGGTGACCAGTCTCATCTCTTTAAGGACCCACCACCCAGAAGCAAGGGATGGAAGGCTATCATTTGGACTGTCCCACGTCATCTGAGTCATCATCACCTGAGCCTTCCACCACCTCAAACAGAGGCTTGAGGAAGATGGAGAGAAAAGGTTCAGGCTGTGGACCACACAGGCTGTCCACGCCAGATGCAGATTGCCATTGTCAACTTCCTCCCCATCACGAGGCACATTCAACAGGCTGCCAAGCTCTGGCAGTTTCTCCCTGGGGCATCTCATGAGTTTCCTCACTGCCCATCACCTCCTTTGGCCACTATTTTCTCTTTCAGGTGAGAACCTGAAAGAATGCCAAGGCCTCCTCCAGGTCTCCCTGCTTCCACTCATACCCCAAGTTCTGGCCAGATCGCCAAGTCCTCGCCAGACCAACCCACACCATAGCTACTACCACCCACAGCTTCCCATTGTCCTGTAGGTAAAGTCCAAGTTCCTTATCCCACAGTGACCTTGCACCTGCCATGCTGGCAGCCTTTTGCACAGCAGTAGTAGCTTATCTCCTGCCACTTAGGAGATAAGCACTCTGCCAGACAAGGTTCTTGCTGTTCTCAAGCCCTCTCTCTCATCACCACACCCTATTTGTCTCCAGCACAGAATTATAGTGGTCCCATTTCTCTGTACATCTTGTTCTTTGCTGTCTCTTCTGCCTGGAGCACTCAGCTTTCTTTCTCCCACCTGACAAACTCCTCTGAAGATGCCTCTGAAGAGTCTGTTTGTGCTACTGCAGGGAGGATGAGACCCAGGGCCACCCACATGCAACCCTTGCCCACAATCTCTCCCTGGCCTGCTAGAATCAGAACCACACCCCCTGATGGTGTTCCAGAGCCTGCTACAGGATCCACTCACATGAAAAGTCACTGACAGGCACAGGACTGGAGCCCATGTACCAGGCTCGATGACCAGGCTCCTTTCCTGCTTATGGATTTATGTCAGTGAGCTATGGCTGAATAACAAACTACCCCCAAACTTGTTGCCTACAGACAATATGGATTGATCATTGTTCATGAGTCCATGGGTGTGCTGGGCACTTCTAGTCTCTACTGGGCTGTCTCACACACCTGTGGTCAACTATGGGTCATGTAGATGGTCCTGCTGAGTTTAACAGAACTTTCCACATATTTTTGGGACCAGCTGTCTATAGGCTGTTCTAGGATGTCTTCTGCTAGGAAGACCAGGGCCTCTTCCTCATGGTCTCATCCTTCAGCAGGCTGGCCCAAGCTGGTTTCTATCTGAGAGGAAGTACTCCAAAAGTGGGAAGAGATGCTGCAAGGCTTCTTGAGGACCTGGCTCAAAGCGTCACTACACTTAGTTCCTCCACATCCTACTGGCAAAAGCAAGCCTGGCCCAGCCCAGATTCAAGGTATAGGGACGCAGATGCCACCTCTTACCAGGAGGACCTGCCCAGCTACATAGTAAAGGGTGTGGGAACAGGGAAGGGAATGAGTTCCCAGAACTCGACCACGGGACAGAAGACATTTACATTAGAAGGAGAGCTCCTTAGCACCGATGCTGTGGTGGGGACACAGCACTCTGCTGTGTGGACCCTGGAGCCTCAGCTGCTTACCCTGACAGCTGTGCAGCCCTGGAGTCAGTAGTGGGTTTTGTCTTCCTCTGCTCCATTCATCAGCAAGTCCCATTGATTCAACCTCAAACTCTACTCAAATCTGAGCCCTCTCTGTCTGCACAACCACCAGCCATTCATGGAGCTGAATCTGGCTGGCTTTTGTTTGCTTTTTGTTTTTTTGAGACAGAGTTTCTCTCTTATCACCCAGGCTGGAGTACAGTCATGTGATCTGGGCTCACTGCAACCTCCACCTCTAGGTTCAAGCAATTCTCCTCCCTCAGCCTCTGGAGTAGCTGAGATCACAGGCACCCACCACTACGCCCAGCTAGTTTTTGTATTTTTAGTAAAGACGGGGTTTCACCATGTTGGCCAGGTTGGTCTCGAACTCCTGACCTCAGGTGATCTGCCCACCTTGGCCTCCCAAAGTGCTGGGATTGCAGGTGTGAGCCACCGCACCCAGCCTTGGCTGGCTTTTTGCCACTCCTAGTTCCTCTTCTTCTTGGCCATGTGACTGGGTTCTGAATGATGGAGTAGAGGCCATGTACTCCACTTCCTGGCCCATCAACACCCCCCATACTCCTTACCCATGTGGGCCACAGGGTGCCAACTGCAAAGCCACAGAGGGAAGGGCCCTGGGTTCCTGAATGGCCAAGTGGAGGAAAGTCAACCTGCTGGTCAGCAATATCCACAGGTAAGAACTACACGGCTGCTGTGGGATCCAGGAGTTAGTCTATTACATCACAGAGCCCCTTCCTATCCAGGATCCAGCTACTGTGACCTTCCCCCTCATTCTGTTCCTCCAACAAGCCAGCTTCCACCCTGCCTCTGGGCCTGTGCACATGCTGCTCCCTCTGGTCATCATATGGCCGGTTCTTTCTTGTTAATAGGGCTCATGTCAAATGCCAACACTTCAGGATATACTCACAACCAACCTGGCTCCCAGCGCCCCCTCACCCACTATTTTTGTTTCTTTGTGGCTCCTACCACTATCTGAAATGATGCTTCTCATTAGTTAGAGGCTATACAGTATAGTGATTAAGAGCATGGACCTGGCTCTATTTACTGGCTGTGTGGTTTGGGGCAAGTAACTTAACACTTCTGTGCCTGTATTTCATCATTAGTAAAATGGGAAGAGTAATGGGATTATCACAGTGACTAAATGAGTTAATATATGTAAGTTGCTAAACATAGTGCCTGGCATGCCGTGAGAGTGTGGAAGTGTGAGCTTTGCGTATTAATATGGTCATTGTTTCATGAGAGCAGGACTTTGTCTGTCTTTGTGGCTGCTGGGTCCTCAGTGCCAGCACACAGTTGGGGTTAATAAATATTTGTTGAATGAGAATGAATGAGATTGGAGCCTGTTCCCAGACTTGCCAGGCCCCCTGCCTGGGCCCAGCTCAGGGGCGGTGGGCTTGGGAGGGCGTCTGAGTGGAGAAGTTGGAGGACAAGCGGAGGGTCTGTCCCGATGGCCGCCTGCTTGCTGAGGGGCCAGTGGGGGAGTGGACACAGATCAAGCCCCTCGACATGGTCACAAGCACATCTGCCCCATTGACAGAGCAGCCACCAGTTGCCACAACAACGCTTCTGGCCCCAGAAGAATGTGCTGGAGACAAAGGGAGAGCTCTACAGCCACTCCTCAGCTTAGGCCTCGAGATGGCAAGCTGCCCTGACCCAGAGAAAGTATCATATCACGCATGCGCGCACGCACACACACACACACACACACACACACGCAGAGTCACCGACCAAGAGACCCAGAATGAGCCACACAGCCCCGAGAGAAAGCAGATGCTCACAGACGGAGACAGAGCACTGACAGACCCTGAGAGAGGCTTCAGAGACACACACAAGCCACCCTCAGTGGTACAGGGTCAAAGGCATATAATGCACACTGGTCCAAAAACAAGCCACAGACCGGGGCTCAGGGAGGCCCCTGGCAAACCTGTCTCACCTAGGGG